GCAGCGGGGTGCGGCCGTGGCGTGTGGGGTCGCGGACGGAGTGGCGCGGCGCTTGGCGGCGGAGCGGGGCTGGGGCCGGGGCGGGGGCCCTGTGGGAGGCGCCTCGCGTGATTGTGAATGAATGAACTAGAGCCCGTGTGGTAGGGTTGGTTGTGAAGGGCCTGGTCTCCTGGGGAGCGTGACAAGGACTGCGGCCTTGGGGTCTGCCCTCGCACCTGTGTCCCTACAGCCTGCGACGGGAGCGATTCCTAGCAATCGCCGCTCCGCCCTTAACGCCTGGCTTCCTCTCCCAAAAGGTGTCAGTAGAGTTCAGGTACCTCCTCTCGCTCGGGCGTCTCGGGGACCCGAGTTCCAGGCTGCAGCTGCTGGTTGAGCAGGCCTTAGTACTTTAACGTGGGGCCCGCCCGCTAGATTCCGACTTTGTATTCTTGGCACTAGCTGGCTGTGGATCATAGCTACTACCTGCAGACCTGCTAATTGCCAGGCCGGATTTAACGCATCCCATTTCGTTGCTTGCACAGGAAATGATGAATGAGATGTTGCCCGAATAGCTGCTGAGTGTTAGAAAGTATATTCTTGTTGATGAATCTTAACCAAGTTTTCCATTCATCATTGATAAAGAGTGAAGTTTTTGCAGAACTTGCCCCAAATTTATCTATGACTGTAATTTAATTCTCATGGGAACCGAGGCATCAAGTGCTGGCCCAGATATGCCTGTCTTACATTGTACATAATTATAGTAACTGAAAACTCATTTTTAGGAAGGTGAGTTCCTTTCCTGTCCATTTTTATCACCCTGAAAAGTCCTTCTTTGACCTAAAGAGCAAATAATTTAAGCTCACAAAGTTGGAAAGGTTTTTGGGGGGTGGTTGTTGGGGATTGAATTAGGGCCTTTACTGAGCTACACTTTCAACTTTTAATTTTTTTTTAACTTTTTTTAGTTTTGAGACAGGGTCTCTATAAGTTGCTAAATTGCCAAAGCTGGGTTTGAACGTGGCATCCTCTTGTCTCTGCCTCCAGTGCTGAGTTTACAGGTGTATGCTGTCGTTCTTGGATATTGGCTTAAAACTTTTCTTAAGTAACTGAACAAACTAATGTTATGAAATTGAACGGTTTAGATGAAGTGAAATCAGTTTATTCAGTGTAAATGAAACCTAGTTGGTAAATTTGTGAGAAAAATATTTAAAGACTGTTCACTTAAGATAGTACGGACAAGGTATTCCATAAACATTATGGCTTATACTTTTATTACTATTATTACCATTA